AACCGGGAAAAGAAAGAGAGGAAGCCACTCGATTTCTTAGCCTCAGACATTTGTCTATCTTCTGTGTGTGGCCCGTTCCATTTTTATCAAGTATAGTTCTTGAGACCCACAATTATTGGGGCTCCACATAAACATAGGGATACGTACTAGTAAAACTGGACACAGAATGAAAGCCTTGCTTAATAAGTCTAGGCCAGATCCAGAAGAGGTCTTGTGTGCCTAATCAGGAGTTGGGTGGATTTTGGCCACCTAAGTCAAATTGCAATCCCCAGCCACCCAAGATTAGGCAGCCACTGAAGTGGAAGCTCATGCAACATATGATGCACCTCTTTGATTGGCCTGAAAGTTCCCTAGTAGCTTGCTCTTGACTATCACTTTCAGTGCCTGATTCTGGTTCCTTGACCTTGGCTTGTTCATCACCACCCCTCTGCTTCTCGACCCTTGCTTGAATCTGACCATGTCTTCAGTCTCTGGAATCTGGCTTGGCCGGCAGGTCTAGACCCTGACTGTGACCCCATTCTGACTCTAGACTTGGGTTTCTGACCTTGGGTCTAACCACTAGGCATGACTACCCACCTCCTGGTCCTGACAGGCCATGAGTTCCCCCCACCCTCTGCCTTGCCTCTCAGTCTTGAGAGAGCCTGAGTAAGGCTAGCATATACTGACAGATTTAGGTCCCTCACAAATGTAGAGTTGTAGATACTCCCCTCTGCCCCACCAAAAGCACGAGGTGGCTCAATGGCTTTAACTAGTAGTCTAGAGGCTAAGTTGGGAGGATGTCCCCTTCCACTCTCCTCTTGAAACAGTAGCACTGTGCACAAAGTGCACAAAGAAATGTAATATCCATGGGGCCAGGAGGAGAGAACATAGGAATAAGCCTAACCTGTAGCCCCATGGGAGGAGAGAGAGCTTGGCTCTGGTCCTTTCTCCCATCACTACTTGTGCATTTCCAAATAAATGGTCATTGAATGAAGAAGAGACATGACCCTGGCAGCAGAGCTAGAGGTGCATGCCTGCAGCACTGATTTGCACGAGAACAGAAAAAGTCAGTTTTTAAGGAATATATATTATTTATTTATTTATTTAAATTAGAGCACAGTTTGCAAGAAGTGACCTATTAGGAACTTCATTTCTAAACTTTGTTCTTGTCGTTTTTTTCTACGTAACATCAGGTTGACAGTGTCCTTTAATTAACAGACATTGGTTTATCTCAATTCTTTGTCATAGTAAATCTGATTAAGACAAATGTTTCTCTCTGAAGATCTGAAAACATTTTGCTATAATTTGTTTGCCTAGCAGATTGCCCATCACCAATACTGCTTCTGTTTAACATGATGTATTTTATTCACATATTTAATTAGCTAATAGCTGATCTCACTTTAAGGTCTTGATCCTCCTCACGTTTGTTCTTTCATCCTGTAAAATGTCTTTTGGTTGCATCTCATGTTTGAAGTTGTCTTTCTTTTCTTTTAAATTATTCTTGCTACTTTCAAATCTAAAATGCAATAAAAGAAATTATTATAAGTTTAAATTATTGTAAAAACATTTAAGGTTTGAGAACAGTTATATACCTACTGCTCTGTATGAAATATTGTTAGAGGGTATAGCTTTAAAAACATTAAGATTTTTGAATCTAGATTTTCCACTTGGATTACTGCAGACATTTTGCTCTTTGAGAAAATTACGTGCACTTTAAAAGGATATTAAACATTTCAGGATTTCAGTACATTCATATACAACTGCTCAGTGTGAAGACAGCTCATAGAATGCAAGTCATTTGAAGGCCATAGCTGAAGATTACAGTAAATGTACTTTAGTCTAAGCACTGTCAAGAAAAGTATTTTACAAAAGAAATTTAGATCTCAATACTGTTAGTATTAAAACCAGAAAAGCTCTCACGGACTTCATTTGCAGCAGGACTTTTAGGGGGAGTAAGCTTGTGCTACTACTTTTTAGTAGCAGTGCCATTTACATACGGCTAATGATTCCTATTAACCCCCTAGGATGAGATCGTACTCTACAGACCAGTGCCTGGAGAAGCCTTCCAAGGAGAACTAGCCTGCCCTCCAACCAAGAGAACAAAGGAGTGTTGGGCACCTCTGCAAGCACATTTTCCCATTTCTCTGCGTATTATGGAGAACTATTCATCGGTTCAGGGAGACGTAAAGGGAGAATGGATTGTGAGTGGTTGGGCACAGGCCAAAGAAGCAGACATATCGTCATCCCAGCACCCAGGGGACAGGCAAGAATGTTAGTACAGCAGTGGCTGCTTTGCTCTAGGGACCCCTGAAAAGGACTCTTAGCAGCAGGCACCACCTGGCAACCTGCAACTTGGCTGCTGGGGGGTGGGGTAAAAGCCATTGCTGATGCAGAGGCTCAGGGCCTCCAAATAGAGGGCCCAGTTTTTGTGACAGATTATTGGAGAGCTAATAGGCTTTACAGGAAGAAACCCTGGCAGACCCTCAGCTGAAAGAATTGTAAGAAAACTGCACAACAGGAACCCAGCAGAGTTTCCAAGGTCTCTATGTATATAATTCTGTATCAGCATGCAATTTATTCACCAGTTAATATCAGTTCTAGAAACCACACAACGCCCCCACCCACCATCGCTACGTGCTGTTTAAATCCGTGTGTTTAAAGATAATTTATCAAGTCACTTAATGACAGAGATATTCAAACCCCTCTTGGGCAGATCTCACCGGGATCACTGCTCTCTGAAGTCCATGGGAGTGATAAGGGTCAGCATGTCTCAGGTGAATGGACCCTGCTTTGGTGCTCCCAGGTTTGGGGTTTACTCCATCTTCCAGCTGGTTTTGCTGCTGTCAATTAATCAACATCAAATAGTAGTCGAGCATCAATCTCTGCAGAAAAGTAACTAGAAACAAGCCTACTCTCTGACCTCTGGAGCATGTTATTACTTAAAGAATAGTATAATTTACTTTCTGAATAGGCAAATATTTGCTCTTGCTGCTGTTGTCCCATAATGACATGGGTAATAAACCTTATGTCCAAGCCATGCAGGCGGAGATCTCCATTACCTTAGCCCTGCTGTTTAATTAGCTTGTAGAATTGGATGGTGGACGTTGTTTATCTCCCAATAAATGTTGTCTGAGTAAAAGACTTCCCCGTCACTAAATTGCATCAGCTGTTTTTTGTACAGGCCCTAAAGGAATGGCATCTACTACTGTGTTGTGTTTTGCTTGTTTTAAGTCTCGGGATTTTTGGTAAACGTCTCGGAGTCCACAAAATTCATCTCAGACAAAGCTCTATCATCTGCTAGGCCATCAGCTCCCTGCACGGACGGGCTCGGGAAGGTGGCAAACACTCAAAAGATGAGAAAGGCCCTGATGTTTGGGTGTGAGCTGCAAGAGGCTTGGGCAGGTCACTGAAGTCTCTGTGCTTCTGTTCCCCATCCATAAAGCAGGATAATAATACTTCCCTGTTGTTAAGATTTCAAGAGCGTGTACAGTCTCGGAGTGTTTTTCTGGAGCCATGTCTCGTGTGATATGGGGACTCCCAGTTGTAGTGATGTTTGCTGTGCTGCTGTTACATGCCACTCACCTTGAAAATGATAGTGCAATAATAGGTAAAATGTGGGAGGAGAGGGGCATGAAACCCATAACTAAATGAGCTTTCCCTCATTGCCAACTGGACTAGGTTAGTTAACTCAGCCACTACAATAGTCCACCTGTGTTTTACCATATATCTTCATTTAGCAGTTACATTTGATTCATGACTACATCTTTTTGCCATGTATTTTTGCTATTCAAACTGCAGGGAAGGCTAATTTTAATTTCATAGAAGTGTCCTCATTTTTTTAAACCATCCTTGATTGCAAGCAGGATTGAGCAGTAATTAAATTTAATAAATTCTGTGGCTTCTAATCAAATATATATGGTAGTTTCCTTACGGGCCTAATTTAAGGCTTTTTTCCTCTCCAGTTTCACTAACCTATTGCAAAGGAGGGGGTGGACGGTTTGCAGGTTGTGAAGGTCCTTGAAGCTCTAGAATGGAGAAAGATATGTTGGGTGCAAACTTTTAATAAGCTACGTGCTCAATAGCTTTCCCCACAGCCTCTGTATTCAAGGGTGGAGGGAGATGACTGGGCATGATTATGCTGCACTGAGTACACGTTTCTCATCACTGCCAGTTGTAAGATGAACAAGCTTGATAAATAAAAAAATGTAAAGTATTTACAATCTGACACCCATGTCTCAATGTTTTGTCCAAGGAAAGGGGAAGGGAAAGGCACTGTGGGGAGTTTGCGTATTGAAACATATGAACTGATTGATTAAAAAAGTTATATGAACTTAGCTTTCTATGTAATGACCTTAATGCTATTAAGCTGAATCCCTTTGAATCCCAGTTTCCAAGTGATTTGAACAACTGGATAAATAGTCCTTGTTTACATCGATGTAGAGTTATTTTGTTCAATGATCTGCGCTCTTTGCCCTTGTCCTCAGTAAGAAACACATTTTCTTATCATGTTAGCTAGGGAATCCTAGATAAGATACTACGTAATTTTAGCACATATTGGCCAGAGTTAGTATTTACTTTGGCGTGCTAATATACACGACAACTACAAATTGCCTTGCCTTTATTAGAATTTAATTACATGTTAGCTATTGTCAGCTAAGACATGGTGGTAAGAATACGTATCTTTTTTTCCTAGCGTAGGTTCACCCTTTGAACTCACTCCTGTCTGAAGCAAACACCTACCAACTTCAGCTTACCTCCTCTATCCCAACTGCTGCCTCTGGTGACTGTAATAGTGATTCACACTTCCTTTTTTTTTTTCACTGCTGGAAATAACTGCATGCCACCAAATACGTGAACTTGCTTAAATAAGAAATTGAGTGTAGATCCTAAACCCATTCTGAGTTGCCCTTTTCTCTAAAAACCATAACTACATTTCAGTTGCAGAGTCTATGCTTGGTTTTTCAAGATAATAATCAGTGGTAAATGGTTACCCCTTTTTCAATGTTCACTGAACTAGATCTTTAAATAATTTTGCCCAGTAAAGAAAATGCTACGAAGAATTTAAAGATGAGAAGAAGATTTAAGGCTCAGGCCATGTGAAAGTACAGTGCATTAAAACCAATATAGGTTTTGGTTTTAGGAGACAGTCCTGGACATGTCAGTAATATATACAGGTCCCAGGACATTGGAAAGATAATATCAAGGCAATCAGAAAAGACAGGTAAGGGCCTCACAAAGTATATTATTACTGGTACTTGATTCTCATTTTAACAATTTT